TTTCTTTACTCCAAGAATTTGATTTTGTTAAGAAAATAACTTTTTAAATGACAAATTAAGTTATGCCCATTGTAAAAATTTCCAATAAGACAAGTATGTATAAGATTAAAAAGAGAATTTCCCTCCTTCTTATCTCACATTCCTCCATCCCCAAGTGTGCAATGTGTACTATTCTAGATCTTTCTCTCTGCACATATAAATAATTGATAAATAGATTTGCTTGTTTGGTCAGATGTTTGGTCAGATGCACTGCATCTTTCTAATTTTACTCAGCAATATTCTGTGGACAACCTTCCACGTCCAGGCATAGATGTGAACCACCTTTGCCTTATGTTTTTAAAGTCCAGTTTATTGAGAGGAAAATTCACATAAAACTCACCCTTATTAAGAGCACAGTTTGATGAGTTTTGACAAAGTAGACAAACAACAACCACTCAAGATAAAGAACAGTTCCATCACCACCAAAAGTTCCCCTTGTAGCTGACTCTCATGACCATTAACTGCTGGTCACCACTGAGCTGTTCTCCATCCCAGTAAGTTTTGCCTTTTCCAGAATGCCTTATACATGAAGTTGTGCGGTATGTAAACTTTGTGTTGACTTTAGCAGAATGCATTTGAGATTCACCCATGATAACTTGTTTCAGTAGTTCATTACATCTTACTGCCATGTAGTATTGCCTTGTACACAGTTGGTTACACCACTTGATGGCCATTTGGGTTGTTTCTAGTTTCCTGTTATTACAAACAAAATAGTTAGGAACATTCCCGTACAAGTCTCTTTTGGTGGATATAGGTTTCATTTCCTCTTGTATAAATACCAAAGAGCAATATTGTGTGGTGTGATAAGTATATATTGAACTTTAAAAGAAACTGCCAAACTGTTTTCCAAAGTGGTTTACCATTCTGTATATTCCCACTAGCAGTGTGTGAGAGCTCCAGTAGCTCTCACCAACACTTGGAATTGTCAGTCTTTTTAAACTTAGCCATTTTAGTAGTATGTAGCAATGTTTCATTAAGGTTTTAATTTAGATTTCCCCAATGACTAATGATGTTGAGTATCTTTTCCTGTGCTCATTTGTCATTCACATATCTCCTTTGGTAAAGTATCTGCGTTTTGCCCTTTTCTTTTAATTGGGTTGTTTGTTTCATTCTTACTGAGTTGTAGAAGTTCTTTATAAATTCTGATTACACATCCTTTATCATATACATGTTTTGCAAATATTTTCTCCTAGTCTTTGGCTTGTTTTTTCAACTTAACATTGTTTTTCAAAAAGCAGAAGTTTAAAAATTTTGATGAAGTTCAGTGTAACACTTTTCTTAAATGATTGGTGCTTTTTGTGTCCTATTTAAAAAACTTTTTTCATAGAAACGGAGAGTCAAGTGCTGATTACCAGGGGTTAGGGAACATGGGGAAAGTGGAGAGATATTGGCCAAAGGGTACAAAGGTTCAGTTATATAGGATGAATGATAATGTACACCATGGTGGCTACAGCTAATAATACTTTTTTGCACAGTTGAAATTTTCCAACAGAGTAGTTTTCAAGCATTTTCACTAGAAAAAAGGTAACCATATGAGTTGACAGATATGTTGATTAGCTTGACTGTAGTAATCATTTCACAAAATATATGTGTATCAAAACATCATGTTACATACCTTAAATATATACCATTTTTATTTAAGAAAAAAAATTTAATTTAAAAGGCAAAATCCAAGGTCACTAAGATTTTCTTGTGTTTTCTTTTAGAAGGTTAATAGGTTTCGCTCTTACCTTTAGGTCTGTGATCTATTTTGAGCTCATTTTTATGTATGGGGCAAAGTAAGAGTTAAGATTAATTTTTGTTTGTTTTCTTATGGAAGACTCATTTTTCCAGCATCGTTTGTTGCAAAGACTACTTTATTCTTTGTAATGACTGTATAATGTTTCACTGAAGAGAGGTCCCATGATTTATTCAATAATCTTATATTCACAGAGATTCAGGTTGTTTCAAATCTGAAGCTATAATGAACATCCTTGTACCCCAACTACTGGGCAGTTGAACAAGTATTTCTGTGGACTTTCTGGGTCAAACAACATGTGAATATTATGCGTTGATGGGTACCATCAGATTGTGCATCAGTATACGTCCGCTCCCGCCTCCATGACCTGCAAGAGAAAGCTCAAGTTTTGATTGGCTTTATTGGTGTAAACCTTTTACAAATCTCAAATAATTTCCTTCTGGATAATCTAATAGCTTGTGTTATTAGATTCTGAAAGATTGAGAGTCCTTCCAGGAGAATTTGAAGAAAGATGATAACTTCTCAGTCAGGGTAACCCTGTAAGAAATAGGCTCATAAAATACACAGTCCATGGGAAATGGAAATTTACAGAGTTGTTTTCATAAGTACTGGGGCTTATTAATACCACTATGCTGGGCCTCCCCAAAGGGCAAAAGGTGACTCATATCCCAGTGGCCTGAATGTGTACATGCAGCCTCTCCTAGGCAGGTCCTAACTCTTCATGGCTGGCTGTCCACATTCCCTCTCACTTTCTCCCCACCCTTGCCAAAACTCTCTCTTGTACCAGACCCGGGCCAGCCAGCTGTATGTGCAAAGGCACAAAGAGGGGGCTGCAAGTGCAATTGACTCGATGTGCCTGGAGCATAAGATTATGCCAGTTTTCCTACTTTTCTTTTCATCCTATGGTGCTGTGACTTGATCAAATTAACTGACATTGTTGAGGATTAGGTGACAAGGATTGTCCTGGGGTACACAGAACTATGGGACAGAAGCTATGTTCTATCTTCAGGGACATTAACACAAGTTAAATAGAAATGCAAGGTGACTTAGAAGCAGCTCAAAAACTGTAGCAGCAGATGTCACAGGCAGGACATATTGATCCACCTTGTGCCAACTGCACAGTCAATGGTGAGATCTAGGTGTTGAGAGAAGGAAGAAATAAATTTGGCTTCACAGGAGGAATCTGAGCTGATGGTGAAAGTTCAGATTCTTGGCACCAAGTCACTTAAGAGTTACCTTCCTCCAAGGTAGACGGTGCTTTCTCCAAGCCACCAAAAGCCCAAAAGCCCGCTGCTGAGACTGTAGGTTTCAGGAGTTAAGGAGAACAAGCCTGAGAATTTCCTGGTGGGTTTAGCCAACAATCACAGATCCTTCCGTCAGATAGTTTGGGAAAAGCTAAAGCTGTCCTGTTAATTTTGAATGTAGCCCAAGTTTATTTTTCATGCTTTCAAAAGATTTTCTTATAAACCCTTTGTCAGCTAGCTATTGCTACATAACAAATCATCCTAAAACCAAGTGGTTTAAAACAGCTATTTTATATGCTCATGAGTCTGTAATCTGGGGTGGGGTCACCTAGGCAGTTCTTCAGCTGGTCTCACCAGGGGTGAGTCCTGGGACTGCCATCACCAACTGGAGACCTGCACGGGACTAGCTGATTCAAGCTGTCCTCACTCGCATGGTCAGTGCCTTGTCTGAGGTGGCAAAGCACCAGGGGCTGGATGCTTCCCCGTCCCTGTTGCCCATCTGGTAGTTCTGACCTCTTGTGTGGTAGTTTCTAAGAAAAGACAAGGGCAGAAGCTGCCAGGCCGGTTAAGGCCTCAGCCTGAAAATGGCACAGTGTGACTTCTGCCACACTGTACAGGTCAAAGCCAGTCCCAAGGCCAGCCCGATTCAATGGGAGGGGGAGTGGACACCACCTCTTGCTGGGGAGAATGGCACACACGTACAGGGATGGGAGAGATTTTCAGTGGCCATCCCTGCACCCGATCCACAGCTCCCTGGGTTTCATTTTCGCTGTCTCTGTACACAGATTTTGGCTCATGTATGATTCATCCCATGTTACCTCATTTAACCTTTCCAACAAACCCTTAAAGGGAACATGGCCTCCATTTTATGATGAGAAAACTGAGGCTCAGAGATGTCAGACGGTTTGTCTGCTGTCACAGCAGAGCCAGGAGTCAGATGGGACTGCTGCAAGAGCTGGGGAGTGTCACCTTACACTCTGCCTTCCCCTGGGATGAGGATCAGTGCTCTTCCCCCAGGAGGCCCAGCGCAGAGTCCACTAACTACCAAACCATTTCTTAATGAACTCCCATGAGGCACTGGGAGGACATTATGTAAATTAAAGTAAAATGGACAACTCCGTAGATTATTATTTTCATTATTTTAAAAATCTAAGGGTCTCTATAACAGGCTTTATAAACTCATAAGAGGTATTCATTTAAGGATGCAGTACTTTTTACTCGAATTTTGTCTAGCCAAAGATCAAGTCATTGATGCTATTTCTCCAAATATAGTTTGATAATCATTCACTTTCTGTCTTTTCACTTATTTTGCTTTGGATGAGATAAAAGATTGCTGCTTCTGGAGAGAGAATAAACACTTTTTCCTAGAGAAAAGGAGTATTTTGGAAAATATACCTCCCCCGTTTTTATTGGATGATTAAAGAAAAATAATCCAAGGTCCACTTTATGTTTGTCACCCAGTGGGTAAAAAAGGCACAGGCCGACAGCAGAGGGATTGGTCTTTGGAAATTCACTTTGAACCAGGAGAGCCGATTCTGTGATGCTGTAGGACACCTCAGTTCCAAGCAGGTAGATGCTGGTGGATAATGAGGAAATCTGTCTGCCCTTTGAGGACTGCTTCTAGTGAACATTTGAGACTTGGCTGCCTTTTCATCAGCTCTTCAGTAGCCACTTACCTCAGTGTCCAAAAGAGAAAATTCTGACATATTAATTTTAATGTGCGCATTTGATCCAGTGCTTGAGATAAATATAACCCTGTGGAGTACGGAGAAGGTTTAATGGGAAATGGTTGGCATTCTTTCTTGGTAAAGGCATGGGGAAAGGAGAGAGAGACAGGAGAGAGGGAGAGGGGGAGAGGGAGGGAGGAGAGAGAGAGAGAGAGAGGCGCAAACAGCAGTGAGGAGGACAAAGACGGAGATAAGCAAGGCTTCACGGCAGCCTTGCCTTGAGAACTTGACACTTGCCAGACCCCAGCCAGCATGGTTGTCCTGAATCCAGTGACTTTGGGAATTTATCTTCAGCTTTCCTTCCGCTTTATCGTGTCTCAGCCTACTTTCATCAACAGCGTCCTCCCCATTTCAGCAGGTAAATGATGACCACAACTTTCCTCTCTTCCATCTGTCGGGGGCAGGGGGAGGAAGGAAGATTGTTTTGCAACGTGCCCTGATATTTTCCCCATTCTGCTCTCGGAGGAGGGAGACTGGAGGGAGACAGCCACCCCAGCAGCTTCCTGTCACCCGAGCTGTCTCTGAAGCTCCCTCTGTCCTTGTTCCAAACAGCCCCCACCCAGCTGCTCAAAGCCAGAGACCCTTTTAAAAATGACTTCTGCCTCTCCCACTTCTCCCCATTTGCTGCATGATTTCATTTTGACTGGGAATTGTAGCGAGCTTAAGAAAGGCACAGAGGAGTACGAGTGAGAGAGAAAGGAGTCCCAGACGTTTCTATGAATACATCCCTCACCCCTTCCAAAGGGGGCTTGATGCAAGGGGGATGTTGTGGAGCAAACACCCCTCTGCTGAGCTCGGGCACTGTGCACCGCCAGGACCATCCCACTAGAGGAAAGGGGAGTCCAGTGATGCTCCCATGGGCCAGGGCCCTTTGGAGGGATCTAGCAAGAACCACTGATCCTCCAGCCCAGTCTGCTTTCCTGTTGTGCTTTCTTCCTATGGTGAGAATTCTAATCTAAATAAGGCAGCTGGAGGTCCTGGGAGATGGGAGCTTCCTGGGGAGAGGTGGAGGCTTCCAGAGTGACAGCCTGGCCTGGAGTGGGCTGTGTCTGTCAGGCGGAGGGCTGGGTGATTTGGGGGCAGGGGGCTTTTCATGCCAGCCTGCCAGACATCTCTGAGGGCACCAGGCACCAGGCACCAGGTTGCCCTTGTCCCGTCTGACCCAGAGCAGGGGAAGTATTGTGTTACTGGCAGGGCCTACTTAAACCTTTCTGAGGAAACTCAAATGTTTCCAGAGGGCTTGAGGGAGGCAGGCAGACCCCAGGCTTGCTGCCTGACCCCACATAGCCCCCCTCCATTCACCTCTGCCACCCCTGGCTTCCCCCCTCTCCCTCAGCAAAAGCAGTTTCAGTCATGCCCTCCAACTTGAGTCTCATACATACTTTCATGGAGGCAGAAATTTTACTCTCACGGCCTTTGCTGAAAACACAGGTCCTCAGAGAGGGCATACCTCTGAGTCCAGCCCCCAACCTCTCTCTGTCCCTAAGCCCAGCGCAGCAGCATGCTGTGCTTCCAGCACTGCCAGTGTCTGAGGGCCCTGAGGAAATGCCTCGGAGAAGGGCTGATCACAAAGATGTGAGGAGCTGAAGGGGGGGGGAGGGGCACGGGGGGGGGGGCGATTTGGGGAGAATACTGGGGAGTGAGGAGTAGGCAGGAAAGGTGAATGGTTGTGTCACGAGGGCTGTGTGACAGTATGCCCCCACAGATTCCACATGAGAGCACAACACTTCTGGGAGCTAGTGGGTCATTATTCTTCTACTTGATGGGGAAGCTTGGTAGTTAATTTGGTCTAAATCAGTGGGTTCTTAACTTCATTTGGGCTAGAGAGTCCTTTGAGAATCTGCTGAAGGCTCGGGACTTAAGGAAACTCTGTCTTCTAGTTCTAGCTCTGCCTCTGGTGGGCTCTGACTTCTGGGAGACAGTCAGCATTAGACTATAAGCACTATGTGGGCAGGGACTGTCTTGTACATTATCACTATTTCCCCAGGGTCAGAATAGGGCACTCAGTAGGTGCTTGGTAAATGTTTTTTTTTTTTTTTTTAGATTTTTTTAATTTATTTATTTGAGAGAGAGAGAGAATGAGAGAGAGAGAAAGCACATGAGATGGGGGGAGGTCAGGGGGAGAAGCAGACTCCCTGCCGAGCAGGGAGCCCAATGTGGGACTCGATCCAGGGACTCCAGGATCATGACCTGAGCCGAAGGCAGTCGCTTAACCAACTGAGCCACCCAGGTGCCCCTTGGTAAATGTTTGATGAATGAATGAGTGAATGAAGGAATAACTTTTCTCATCTGTAGATTGGGGCTTGCCTTCATTTTGTATCACATAATTTAGATAGAGCCAAATGGCTACTAAGTTCTGAAAGCTAGAGAGAAAAGAACCTCTGATTTTTTTCCCCCAAACTCCTTGCCCTAGAGAGACCCCCGGTATAGCTTAGACATCTCTTAGGTTGGACTTTGTATAGATTATAGCAGTCAGGGTAACAGCAGGAAAAAGAAGCACTTCAGATGAAAAGACTTGAATGAAGGGACCACTTTAGAGGTGTGAGTGGGGTTAAGGGAACCGATGAAGAAAGTTGAGGAATTAGCAACCTTGGGAAGTCTTTACCACTCTTGTGCTTGAAAAGGCAAGAGGGAGAAATGGGGAAATTGATGCCAAGAAGATTTGGAACCTTAGAGGAGGGGCCAGTGAGCTGGAGCTATGACCACAGAGGACTCAAGGGAGAAAGTAGAGAAGAAATACCCCAACCTCTCTCCTTCAGTCCAACCACCTCTTGGCAGTGCCTTCCACTGGCCAAACCCAGCCCAAAGCCAGAGCATAGGGGAGCCTCTGGATGCAGTCCATGGGGGTCAGCTTCTGGGGTACAGAGTGAGGGGGAGGGGTGGGAATGTGGAATCACTAGCTCACACAGCCACTGGCCTTTCCTGAGGAACTTCTAAATCCAGATCTTCTGCTTGTGAATGTGGTCCTTAGGCATTTGGTAAAACAATGGGGTAGACTTAGGGAGAATCACTAAGGAGGTAACAGCTCAGCAGAGCAAAAAATACCCGCTTCCCCCTGAAGAGTCTCAGCTTTGTTCCCTCATTTAATTGCCATGGCTTCTTCATAGCACGGTTCAGAAACAAACTTATGCCCTGAAATGGCAACTGTTTTGTGACACAGGACAACTTTAATCCTTTGAAAATATTTTCCAATAATTTGAGGTGAAATATTCTATGTTCAGAAATTTATAAATTCTTACTCTCAAAGAAGACAAGCCCGGTGCTTATAGAAATCAGGGCAACCTGCCATACCCTAGTGAGTGCCTACTATGTGCCTGGCCCTATGCTAAAGGCTACAGAGGACACAGAGATGAGTCGGATCCTGCCTCTGCCCTGGGGAATCTGTGGTCATCTACTGCTGAAACACAGGCAGCATGTGCTAATTGGCCCAGGGAGGGCATGATGGAGGAAGAGCTCTTATAGGCTTGTAGAGCAGTACTTTCCTTCATAGCTGAGCCAGTCCTTCACTCTCTTCAGGAAGGACTGGATTCTAGCAACTCCAGACACAGCACCAGCTATCTAGGTCAGAGGTTCATTACCTGGCAACCTCCACTGATGGGTCCCGCAGGAGAACCACAGAAGAGAGCAAAAAGCCTCAAAGAGGCCAAGAGTGATGATAGAAATCCCAGCACTAAAGCACATGCATTTGATATACAGGAAACCAGCTCAGGCCCTTACTCCAAATCTACTAACTGTTACTTTAGACAGCATTCTAGCAGACTTGCATAGCAGGTTTCTAGAAGGGTGGTAAATTAGGCGCAGCACATTAGACTGGGAAGAGTGAGTTCCTGCTTACAATGGACACCATGACCACCACCACCACAACAAAAAAAACCAGCTGACAAAACTGATTATAAGAAAAATGACAAATAAGCAGAGAATAATTCTGAGATCAAAAAGAATAGTAGACTGGAATTATTTTGGAATTATTTCTAGAGCCCCTGTTCTGTAGGTAACACCATTGACTTACAGCACATTAATTGTTTTTCACTATATGAGCACGAATGACCCAGTGAAGACTGAATTGTGTGCACTTAATTTTGCTTAAGAAGGCAGATAAGTGTCAGCTATATTTTAGAATGATTTCTACTGAACATGGCCCTAATATTTAAAATCTATGGAGCTGTAACTTTGGTATTGTTTTGACTATCGTTGAGTAGTGAACCATCCTGACACTCAGTGGCTTAAACAACAATCATTTATCATCGAAGTTCATGTGTTTGTGGGCCAACTATGGTCAGCTGATCTAGCCTGGGTTTGGCAGGCCCTGGCTGGGCTCACTATGGGTCTGTGGATTGACTCAGCTCCAAGATCCATTCACAGATGTAGCTCAGTGGTTGTACAATTTCTAGAATGTGGTGGCACGGACCCAAGGACAGTATTTATAGAAGGGCAGACCTTCCACACACTTTGATTTATATAATTCTCATAGCACCTTTGGGATGTGTGTGGCATGACTCCCACTTTTCAGCTGAGGAAACGAAGGCTCAGAGAGGTTAAGTGACTTACTCAAGATCACAGAGCTAGGGGCGCCTGGGTGGCTCAGTCAGTTGGGCGACTGCCTTCAGCTCAGGTCATGATCCTGGAGTCCCGGGATGGAGTCCCGCATCGGGCTCCCTGCTCGGCAGGGAGTCTGCTTCTCCCTCTGACCCTCCCCCCTCTCGTGCTCTCTCTCTCTCTCTCATGCTCTCTCTCAAATAAATAAATAAAGTCTTTAAAAAAAAAAAAGATCACAGAGCTAACACAAAATGGGGAGATCTGGAGACTGGAATCCTACCCTCTGACCTTAAGGCCAGGGCTTTTACCAAGGTAGACCAATGTCCATGGACAAACAGTGATATTAGTTCCTCAGGTCCTGCAGACTGCCTTTCTGCCCATCAGGAACTCTCCTCTAGGTTCTTTATTCCCTGTTCCCGCCTCCCTTCTCCTCAGCATTTCAACGCCCAAAGCTCTTAGCAAGAGATTGAAGATTACCTTATACTAAAGTGTGTAGGACCAGCCAGGGTATGACTTTATCTCTCTTTTGAAGGTGTTTGCATTTTAACGGGCACTCAAACTAAAGGATGCTCTAATAAAATGAGCTTCAACCAAGGTGCTGTGGGGGAGGAGAACTCCTGGAGCCAGGGGAATAGCACTACACAGACATTTTCTTCAGACACTCTGAGCCAACCTACCCTAGGCCCACCACAGGGACATGTGGCATCCCTTTTCCAATACAGGGTTTCCCAGCTAGGCAGGAGCTCCCCAGATGATGTGTGGGTCTAAGCCTCACAGACCAGATGATAAGAAGACCCAAATGTAGTCCGATAGAATGAGATC